GTTCCTGTGCTCTTTCGATGTCGTCAGCCTCTTAACAAACGTGCCTCTCAAGGAAACAATAGATATCTGCATACAGTCGCTATACCATGATGATGAAATATCAGCCCCGCAAATACCCCAAGATCTTTTCAAGAAGCTGCTTTTCAAAGCCACATCAGACGTGCAGTTCAGTTTCAATGGCAATATGTACGCACAGAGGGACGGAGTAGCCATGGGTTCACCCTTGGGCCCCGTGCTAGCCAATATCTTTGTTGGATATTTTGAGAACACAATTCCAGACAGTCATTGGCCCCAATTCTATAGGCGTTATGTGGATGACACATTCGCAGCATTTCACAACCGGAAACTGGCATTGGAATTCTCTGAGCGTTTAAATAATCTTCACCCAGCTCTCCAGTTTACAATGGAGGAGGAGAATAATGGAGAATTGCCGTTTCTTGATGTGTTGATTAAGCATTCTTCCACAGAATTGCTCACCACAGTATATAGAAAGCGAACGTTCACAGGTCTTTACACCCGCTGGGACTCGTTTTGTGACACTAGAAACAAAATCAATTTGATCAGATCATTAACTTTCAGAGCTAAAAACATCTGCTCACCATCACTATTATCAGCTGAAATTGCTACGCTAGAGGATATTCTGTGTTCTAACGGTTACCCACTCAAAGTACTCAAGCGAGTCATGACAAGCGTTCTTGAACCTAGCCCAGATACAGCTTCTGCTCAACTTGAATCTGCAACGCGTATTATCACAAAATTGCCGTGGAAAGGGCAAAATTGCATTGCCTTCCGCAAAAAGATTAAAGCTGCAATTTTGAACTGCTATCCTACAGTATCCCCCATTGTAATTTATACAACCAGACCCGCATTCAGGTCTATCGCGAAGGATGTTTCACCAACTCTTGAAAACAGTAATTTTATTTATAAGTATGCGTGTCGCTGTGAGCGGACGTACGTTGGTGAGACATGTCAGCGATTCTCGGAAAGGATCAAGCAGCATATCCCAGACAAGCTGTACAAGAAGCCGCCTGACAAACGTGTGGCAACAAGTGATAGCGCCATCACAAAGCATTTGCAGGCGCAACCTGAATGCATCCCGCAGGAACGCAACAGCAGCTTCAGTGTGATCACACCAGCCCGGAACAGCGTGCACAGATTCACACTGGAGGCACTGTACATTCGCAGTTTGAGGCCAGAGCTGTGTCGACAAAAGAAGCACATCAAGGTGCTACGGCTGTTCAAGCTGCAACCGGACTGACAACTTTATCACGTGTTTGTTCTGGTACTGCATTCCCCTCATGTGTTGTTTCCCGCATTTTTCCACTGCTCCATACATTCTTATGGTAGTGTAGTGTGAACTTGAGGCGCGTAAGAATATTCTTGCTGATTCTCTACCCCCAGTATAAATTCTGGCTTCGTTTTCGTTCTTGCTCATTCCCATGTAACTACTGATGAAAATGGGTGAAAAGCTTTTAGTATTATGAAATTGACAACCTTGTTGTTGTGTGTATATAAATTTTGTTCGCCTACATCTCTATTTATATATACACTGCACGATCAGTGAAGTCTATTTATATATATATATATATATATACTCAATCTGCGGACAGCATGCTGTTTCGTTCTTTTCGAACTCATCAGCGCAGCACAGAGGGAAAACATGGGAAAACAATGGTTACCAAGAAAACATCATTTCACTTTTGCTACTCAAGAGTTTCATGCACAAGCGGGTGCAATCATCAGGCAGGCAAAAAGCAACAATAGTGGGCTAGCCAGAACAAGGGGTCTTATAACAGGGCCTGGCGAGGTGAGGTGGGAATGATAGGAGCCAAGAACAGGGTCAGTGAAAATTAGTGCCAGTCACAGAAAAGAGCAATTTGGGCTAGTGCAAAGCCAGTTGGTGCACGTGTAAGCACACACTAGGGAAATCAGCGCCATGAAGGATAATAGTTACGGGATGTGTAGACAGCGTTGATTTCCCTAGGTGGATATGGGGGCTTCAGGTGATAGCTGCCCCTGCGTAGTCCTTCAGGCAGTATCTGCTGGCGTGTCGGCACTTTGAGACAATCTCGCTCCTCTTGTTCAGAGCATAGTCTCGGTTGCTCAGCGCTATCCAGGTCTTCTCTGCTGTACATAGCGGGCATCTCTTGGTTAAGTTGCTGTAAGCCCTGGACCTCTCGCAGATCCTCCACCTGATTTCACACGCTTCATTTGTGGACTTTAACCCCCAGACATGCTTCGATAGCTCTGTGCTATTCCTGTAAGTGGCGAGGCGCATAGATGTTTTATGGTTTGCCAGGCGAAGCTTGAACGGGGGTGCAGTCGATCCGAAGTAGCCTCTCGTATCGTGCTGCTTGGTCACCACTGCCTCGTACACAGTAGCTTCTGCCTGGCAGTCTCCTTGCAGCGGGCAACTTGGCGGCGATCTGCAATTGCACGGCTTTTGTTCTACGGGCTTTGTCATCTGCTTGCGGTTGTGCGAGCTTATCAAAGACGCCATGTTTGGTAAGCAACAGTAGCTCACCTTGACCGAGTTTCGGTTAAATATTGTGTGGAGTCTCGATGTCTTGGGGAAATGCTTGGTGACTAGGCGGAGGAACACAGCACCAACGTTTGTGGACACGCTTTTGGAGAAGGGTGGGTTGAACCAGATGATGTTGCGCTTTCGCTGGCGCTTCCTTTGCCTCTCCTCTGGCTCGACGTACAGTAAATATCGGATATAACGTGCCCCTTTGATTTTCGAAAAGTTATCACTATATCGGTGCATCACTATAGCCGATTTGCATGTTTGACCGACACATGGCACATGACTGCACATAAAATGATGCGTACACGCTGGAAAAAGCATGCTGAAAGTGCATGCATGCTCCGCGGACTGTGTACCGGTGCATGACACAGAGCAGTGCATGGCAGTGCAGTACGAGTACAGACTGTCATGCACAAGAACTTCGATACATCATGTGGCATGGCTGCTTCTTCAGCGTGTTCTCCAAAAAAAAGCCTGAGCTGGATCCGTACTCACGTAGATCTACTCGGTGTCCAACGAGTTGCGTAGAGCCAGAAATAGACATGAGTGGCTGTACGTGAGTACGAGTTGGCAACATCATCGTGAGAGGCAACACAGCCAGAAACGGACAAGAGCATGCAGAAAGATACAGAAAAGGACAAGACCATACAAAGGGAGCGAGGGGTAGCGCAGCCAGAAAAGGACATGTGCATACAGAAACGGACAAGAGCATACAAAGGGAGCACATTGCGAGGGGTAGCACAGCCAGAAACGGACATGTGTGATCATCACTCTTGATCATTATATGCGATATTTTCCTGTACATTTGATATGGTTTGCTTCCTGAAGTCCATCACAATAAGCGATATATCGGTATAGCCGATAATAGTGTATTATAGTGATATTTTAGCTGTATTTTTTTCTGATTTGATTTTGATTTTGACGTGTTGTATCACTATAACCGGTATATCATTATATCCGGTCACTTTATAAACGATACTTACTGTACTCTATATTAAGCGCATGCCCATTTGCGTGCAGTGCGTCGTTGTAGAGGGGGGCAGCACTGTCGAACACTGCCTCGTCAGCCGAGATGCTGGCGATGCGTCTACCCACTGCCTTCGGTAGGTTTCTGAGGATATTAGGCGGGTGGTTGGATTGGTGGTTGAGGTAGAGTGGGTTATCATTGGGCTTTCTGTAAGGCTGGTAGTTGCTGTTTTGGAGGTTAAGCGTGACGTCCAGGTAGTTGACGACTTTTAGGTTGGCCTCAATGGTCACTCCCAGGCCAAACGACGCAAAGGCAGAGGTGATATCCTTGCGCACTCTGTCGGCTGCCGCACCAGAGGCATTTCTCAGCACAGCTAGGCCGTCATCGCGGTATAATCCGATGCCGCTCCTATCAATAATCTCCGCGTCGGAAGGTATTTTTGGTATGGTACGTTAAGCCATCTGAAGTACAATTTACTCGTGGGGGAGGGATGGCTGAGCCGAAAGTCTTGGAAATTTAGAGCCCAGATCAGTGCATTTCGTTGAGTCAAGGGGTACTTGTGCAAATAGTGGTGCGCTCAATACCGTAGTGGCGTACCGTGTGCGACGCCCCTGGGCATCGACAAAAACTTCAAAGCTAAGCTTCTTCGAAAGATATGCATAATTATGATCAAGAATTATTTTAATGTACTCTTGATATTAGCAAGAGTACATAACCCCCCAGAGTGTGCAACTCCCACATACCCTGTTGTCCCGACAGAATTTCAAGTTGACGTCATTATTTATGACGCAATGCTCCTTGCAGCAGTGATTTACGACATGTGTACGGGTGTCAACGCATCACACGTTTTTCTTTGCAAAAATTTGTACAGGATCGATCGGCTTCGGTCAACCACAGGTTCCGGATTCGTCTGATAATCCGTGTACAGTGCGCATTGCATCATCAAAATGACGTCAACTTGAAATTCTGTCGGGACAGCACCCATAGTGGAGTTGCACACTCTGGGGGGTTATGTACTCTTGATATTAGTGAGGTTTAGTTCCTACGTAACGGAAACGCGTACGTGGGTGATCCACGTAAAGTGGATGGAGGGCACCCACGTTGCAATGTTATGTTTAGTCACACGGAACAAACAAAAGCATGAAGCGAAAGGCCCAAACCTGGTCAAAGACGAAGCTACCCGGGCATAAGAAGCTCATCCAATATTTTGATACCGTGCTTCGGAAACACCCTCCCAGCTTGCACAATGCGTTCCATTCTGATTTTCACCCACGTTCTGGCGGAATGTGGGTGAGCCTCCATACACGGTGTATCGTGAATCAGAAAACGTCTGTACGTGGGTCACTAAGTATCACGTGGTACACACGCGTAAAGTACCCACGGATTACGTGGGACTAAACCTCCCTATTATGATCATATCCGCAACTTGTCAGTCTGATGTGCTAGCTGCATTCCCAGCTTGGGCTGCACAAACTGTTCAAAAGCATACCAAACTGATTGGTTGTGAAGAAGTTTATTAATGCATGCTCCCTTACGGTCACATTCCTGGGATAATAGTTAAAGCCAAAGGCGCGAAAATCAGTGTGTAAGTCTTGATTAGTGGGAGAGATGACTGTGTTCTTTGCAGGCCTCAGAGTGGTTAGCAGTGCGTGTATCAAAACGGGGGTGGTAAATGCAGAGAGTATGCGTACTACATGTCGTAAAATACCGTTGGTACTTTTTCAGTACCCCCCGGTGAAAAGCCGCAGGAGCACAAGGGCAGCATGGATAATGAGGGGAAAAAACGGCCAAGGTGGCACACAGATGTTGATGACAAAAGGTTCTGAAAGCACAAGTAATTGAGTAAGCACATTGAGCACATTAAGCACATTGAGTAATAGCACATCAGTGCAAATGAAGCCTGGAGTTTGCGGCTGATTTCCCTGTTCTTCATGTTCAAACAATTGTCATTGGAAAACGCAAGCCAAACATTATTGTTGACCGAGCTCTCTTGAGTAAAAATGGCAAACTGACAGGGATGTATTGTTTAAAATTGTTATGGGATGAAATATAAGCAAAAGCTGAGCTGAACTGATCAGTTTCCTTGTCCTCGCCTAAGGACTACGGTGAAGCGCTGTATGACACAAAGACGAAGAGGAAAAGGAAGAGAACACCAAGCATTAGATCCCAATATCGCTCGAAGGTGGATTAGTTTCGCTTTGCAAAAGTACAAAGCCCTGATAACACGTCGGAAATACTTCTCAAGTAGGTCCAAAGGCGCGCGCCACTGCGCGTTAGCAAACACCGTACCATGCATGTAGTATATGCACGAAGTGCTGGAGCTCTGGTCGATTTGCATCCAGCATTCATAGGGGGTGGTGCTGTTTAGAGATGTACATGCGATGCTTCTCTTCTGTATGGAGTTGTGTACAACTCCTTGATCTTGCTTTCCCAGGCATTGCTTTCCCTAGCATATGTGTGTGTGTGTGTGTGTGTGTGTGTGTGTGTGTGTGTGTGTGTGTGTGTGTGTGTGTGTGTGTGTGTGTGTGTGTGTGTGTGTGTGTGTGTGTGTGTGTGTGTGTGTGTGTGTGTGTGTGTGTGTGTGTGTGTGTGTGTGTGTGCATGTGCGTGCGTATATGATAGTAAAAGCACAGTATACTTACAGGTGCATATGATAACGCCTTGTGTGGGAACGGGCTTGGTGAGCAAGTTGGTCATGCCCCATTCTGGTGTGTACCGGAAAGTGCGGTATACGCGGTTAAGCGTAGGTGTGTGAGTTAAGGTGTCGACGAGCACGTCGATGCCTACTCCGATCGCCTTGAGCATCTTGTTGACGGCAAGATAGATGTGGTTATACGAGGCGTACTCCTCCATTCGGAAGGGGCCAGCGTGGGGAGGGAGATATTGATTTAGTCGGCAATTTTGAATTGCATCATTTCGAGACCCGTATCTGATGTTTCCATTCCACAGCTCGTAGTGGACCGAGTATTTTACAATCTTTCCATGCTCCATTCTAGTGATGGGCCTCTGAATAATCGTATCTGAACACAAGAAGCCAGATCAGCACCAGTGGATGTTAACAAGTCGGCGTGGAAAAAAGAAACCTACTATCGATGTAAGTAAAGTGAGTGCACTCATACAACAATGGAACCCTATTCATACCACCTCTTGAGAGCTGGCTCCGGGCCTGTTCACAAATTGTGTACCGTTACATGGGAATCCCGACCCCTACTCAAGCGAACTCCCACGCATCACTCCCACCTTCTATATTTGACGGTACGCAATGACTTTATATGGAGATCCCCACAGCTGCTCAAGACCTGCTCAAGACCTCTCACCCCCCCCCCCCAGGCCAGATCTAGCACTGCTACCATCACCATGGACACCATCATATTACACACACTGACACAATAAAACTCACCATGGCACACTTGGGTAGTGAAGCTGGTCGAACGACACAGCTGTTCCCGGGAGCAAGGTCTATTAGTCCAAGTCGAACACGTGTCCAAGTCTGTGCAGGAGCAGCAGTTGCAACAAGACAGTTAGCCCGTGACCAATGCAGCATGGGCTTTCCCAGGGCAACGACAAAGTCAGGAAAAAAAGGTTACAAAAACAACGTCACAGAACATGCAATACCGAATTGAGGATCAAAAGGACAAAAGGACAAAAACCACTCAAAATCTGAGTCTGGGATCTGTTTCTCCTTACATTTTGCAATGGCATACATGTTCAAATTTTGTCAACACTTGCTGAATTTCTATTCACCTGTTCTTGGACGTGTCTGGCCTCAAACATGGCAAGCAGAATGTGCACGGGTCACACAATGAATGGAATTTAGGTGCCTAAAATCTACACAGAAAGTGTGTCTCACAGCATGCTGCCAGCTAGACACTGAAGGACAACATCAGAGCAAGCCAGTGCTAATCCACTACTCACTGTTTCGGTGGCAGACGACCGCATTCATTCCCCTGTCGTAGTGCACTTCATTGGCCACTGGGTCGTACGCCTCATAATTATCATAGAAGCCAACCTGAGAGACCCAGAACTTATCATGTCCATTATTGCGGAGAGTTCGGATGACACTCTCGCGGAAACAGCTGTTGTTCTGCGAGACCAGGCGCAGCGTGTTAAACGTGAGCATGACCTCCCCTTGGTCTAGGCAGTAGTTTCTGCCGGCATCGAATGTAAAGCTGTTGGCGGAGACGCGGAATCTTTCTAGCATGCAGAAATGCAAGGACTCGGCTGTGAAATGCAGAAAGCAAAACACGAGAAAGCGCAAGCATCATCAAAAGCAGACTTTTTTGCGACAGGATACCTACCGTGTGCGGTGCTGTTTATTTATGTAATCTTTTTATTCTTATTTCACAAGGGATTTCCCAACAGGCGTCATCGCCTTCTTACAGGGAACCCTAAGAAGTGCTACGTTTGGAGAATACGACCTAGAAATACATGCACGTGCAAGAAAAAACAGTGATTGACGGACGTACCCATAGCGGTGGTCCGTGAACACAGTATGTATGGGGAAGGTATTAGGGTCTGTTCATCTATAAGCGGCATCTCTGAGGCAGTCTTCCATCTGAAATAGCGTTATGGAAGTGTACAGTCATGCACGAGGTTTTACTCTTTAATTATTTTTTCCACAGCCCAAGAAAATCGTAAGCTGACACAGACGACATTGTGGTAGCATGGAATGTACTTGGGCATACAGAAGACATTCAGCATAATGGTCGGGTTAATGGGGTTCCCGGTCAATGTCGTACATGAACGTACTCCGCTAAACCTCAAGGAAGCTCTCGTGAAGTCAGCATTGAATCCTATCTCTCACTCTGTATCTCTATATCTGGCTCTTTCTCTGTGTCTGTATCTGTGTGTCTCTCTCCGTGTCTCTCTCTGTCTCTTAACCTCTCCCTCTGTCTTTCTGGTTCTCTGTCTCTGCCTCCTCTGTCTCCCTCTCTCTGTCACTGTCTCTCTCTCTCTCTGTCACTGTCTCTCTCTCTCTCTCTCTCTCTCTCTCTCTCTCGGTCTCTTTCTTTTTCCCTCTCTCTCTAGCTGTGGCTTTTCACACACACACACACACACACACACACACACACACACACACACACACACACACACACACACACACACACACACACACACACACACACACACACACACACACACACACACACACACACACACACCATGTACCATGTATACGCCCGTCGCAAGTAAGCTCGCAAATCTGCAAATGCACTGGATGTGCACCCAAAGATTTTTCTTTATAGCAACGATAGCGGATCTGATTCTGATTGAAACAGATCAAGACAAGCACCAGATAACTGTCTAATCCACACAACTGGCGAAGCCATGTGAATCGACCCCCAATGCACACCTGGTCTACACCACACGGAGTACATCGGAATAGGACGGCCAAGACAGTTCCCTATGCACACCCTACACTTGCTGGCGTAACCAGTATAGACAGCACGCTGCTTTGATAAAAGCGGACACTAGATGCACTGGTACCTTCAAGTGAAATTGGAGTTATTTTACCAACCAGCCTCGGCAACTGGGTACTCGGAACCCAGGGCCAACAGACGTACCAACAAACTCAGCCATGAAAGCCATATAGTAACGACACACTGGATTGTGGAGCCGAAACTAGTCCAACTTCCAAAATGCTTTGGCAAGAGGGTAGCCTTCTGACACAATTTAGATTGAGGTGCCTGGTTTCTCTATCTCTATCATGTTTTAAAGTATCCGTTTATCACTACAGTCAGACCTCGCATAACCGCACACATCCGATTTCCCGAAAAAAAAACGATAGGCAAGGGAACCGGATAATCGAACACACATACTCTGTGTGTGTGTGTGTGTGTGTGTGTGTGTGTGTGTGTGTGTGTGTGTGTGTGTGTGTGTGTGTGTGTGTGTGCCAGCTAGTTCAATTGGTGGGTAATCTTATGCCAGATAGTGTTGAGCCTGTTGCCAACGGGCTTGGCTGCTTGAAGGTGTATTGTTGTACCTACCACCTTTGTTGGTTTCAGGGTTCATATACTTTCTATTTGAAGTATACATACCTGTTTACCATGGACTGCTTCTGGCTAGATTAACTCTTGTGTAATCAATGGTGCTAGTGAAGCTTGTATCAGATCCACTCTGATTTAGCCACCCACACTAGTACCTAGTATTACCTTCACTGGGGGCAGAGGGTACCTGCAGTTGGATCCCGGGACGGATACCCTGATGCCGTCAATCCTTTTTTCTGCACCTTGTCCTCACCCACTTACTGAGGTGTGGTGAGCCCATAAGTGGGATCATTTCAAATCCACCCTAGTTTGGGGATTTCCGGGGGTGTCGGCCGTTGGGTGGTTCAATGGCCAATTGAGTCATCTTTCCAAGATTCCTTTTGAGTCTCTCTCCCCTCTCCCGGGGAGACCCACGTGACCAGTTTTTGGCAGTGAGAAAATACAAGTGTGTGTGTGTGTGTGTGTGTGTGTGTGTGTGTGTGTGTGTGTGAGTGTATGTGTGTGTGTGTGTGTGTGTGTGTGTGTGTGTGTGTGAAGGAGGAGGGGGGGGGGTTAAAGACAGAAAATTTTAAGTTGCCATGCATGGCAGGGTAAGTGGAGTTAGCAACCCATCATTATTCTTACCATAGGGCAATACGTGTACAGTCAAACCTCGTAAGGACGAACTTCAAGGGACTGAACAAATTTGTTTGTCTTATGAGGAGTTTTTCTTATCCAGATCTGACAAAAAATCGATATGGATATCATATGGGTTGTATTTACGTGAAGGTGCATACTGTGGTAAATGGGAAGCATTTATTCTCAGCATAAGCCAGAAACAGGTTAGTGCAATGTGCTAGAATTCGTGACTGTGCTTCCATATACAAAAAAATACATTACGATAAAACCATGAATGGAATATGAGGGATTACGAGTGTGCATGTGAAGCACAGCATCTCAACGTCCGAGTTTCATACTGTGTCCACCCGAAGTCCTTTTTATATTGCATCACACACACAAAGTGTCAGCACCCTCTCCGTGTACATCTTGGCTTTCAGTAGGAAAAATCCCAGCTCTCAGCGGTGAACCAGTCAAGCGCTCTGCGCATAGACGTCTTCGACCGCGAGCAGTCGATATTTGTACGTCCAAACGGTAAAGGGTTAAAGGGGAACTGTCACAAAAATATTTCTTTGTCTTATCTTGTACTTCTTTGGCTCCTGATCACGATGGTGTTTTTCTCTGCGATGATTGGAAGTGCGTGAAAACTGGAAAAAAAGGCCCCCAAAATTGTCCCGAAGTGCCGTGTGACGTCACGCCGGACTTGACCTGCATGCGTACATTCATCGTCAAAAGAGAGGTTAAGTTTCACAAAAAGTCTTACGTCCGTAAACGTTTACGTCAAAAAGTGAAAAAACTAACGTAAAATTTGACGTGTTTTACGTGAGTTGACTGTCCCGCACGTAAGTTCATGATGTGAGTTTTGGAAGTTTCGCTTGGTTATCCCGACCGAATTTGTGTGAGTTTCCGGAATTTTATCGAGGATGATATTTGTGCGAACTAAACCCGAATCCTGCCAGGCAAAATTTCACGTCACGTCGCACGTGTAACCTAACCTCTAAAAATTACACGTAACGTGAGATTTGCACCGCGTTTTGAAAAAGGGCAAAAACGTGTAACTTAACCTCTCTAAAAACGAAATTCAGCCAGTGTGCTGGTCGATCGAGCCAACTGTTCGATGTACGGTGCACGCTTGCCTTTTGAACTCGGACACTGATGTGTACGTTGTACTACACAATGAGAACGCCAAAAAGGGACAAAAAAACCAAAAGTCGACAGCAGTTTATCGCACTGGTACTCATACTTCCACCCCGAAGCTCTACGGTCCAGCGCTTTGTTTTAAACGGGATTCACAGAAGCTTTTTTGCGATGCGACACGCGATGCGACAGACGCGAAACCCCAAATCGCAGCCATGTCGCACCCCACGCAACTGCCGCAACTGGGCCATCGCAGGCCATCGCAGAAGTTGAGCTTGGCTCAACTTTTGCGATGCGACAAGCGATTTGGTGTACGGTTTTGACCTTTTCTACAGCAAAGTTGTACAAAGGTTCAAGAGTTGCCTATAAATTTTTACAAGTTGTGTCAAACCGCGCGAATATCATGGTGACGTACCCAAGTCAGCAAAACTTTGTCGCATCGCTGACTTCGTCTGTAAATGGTATTTCGCGAGTTCGCATTGCAAGCATCCATCTCTGATCGCGTCGCATCGCGTGTCGCATCGCAAAAATGCTTCTGTGAATCCCGCTTTATTTGTGATTACGAAGGAGTGGAAGGATTTTTGTTTGCTGTTAGTGTGACATTAATACCTCGTACTTGAAAATTATGTCGTTGTATCGAAGGTGGCGGGGTTGCCCACGCGGCTCTGAAATGAAAGACGTCGGAGTTTGTCATCTGCATCTTCAGCAACATCGCCAGATGAATCGCCTTCACGTAGCTACATTGCGTTCCTTTTGGGCTCAGGTTGGTGGTGTTATCGCCAGCCGGAGGAGTACGGTTTTCTGCACACACTCTCATCATCGTGTTGTTCCTCGCACGAAAAGTTCAAAACAACGACGGAATTCCGTGCTCACGAAACTTTAGATCCTCGCGGAAGAAATCAAAAAGGTGAAAGCTCAGCTGCTTTTTAATTTGATTTGGCTGTGTAACTGCACGTGGGTCTCTGCCTCTTTGGCATTCTCCTTCTGTACGACGTACCCATATGTGCTAGAGTTCAAAAGGCACATGTGCGCCGTACATCGGAACAGCTACAGGTAGCTAGATTGACCAGCACACGGGCTGAACTTCGTTTTTAGGGAGGTTCTGCTCTACGTTTTGGGAACGTGACGCAAAGAATCACGCGAACTTTCTTCGCGTTCCCGTAACGTAAAGAAATGCTGTTCTGCTCTACGTTTTACCTAGAGAAGTCACGTGGAATGTGTACTGGGAATCTCCCCTTCCATATTTGGCAGTTTTCTGCATGAAGTTGATCGATACCCAGCAAATCCGTCCGAATTTTCTCTGCGTGTGCCATAACGTAGAGAACCCCATCTCCGTGTAGAAATCTGGAGCCAAAACACGCGAAGCCGTAGACTCTAACCCAGACACCTGCTTTCTACGTGATTTCTCTACGTTTCACGTATAGCAGAACCTCCCTTTTGACGACGAGTGTACGCGTGGAAGTCAAGTCCCGCGTGACGTCACTCGGTACTCCGGGTCAATTTTGGGCACCTTCTTTTCAAGTTTTCACCCACTTCCAGCCATCGCAGAGAAAAATGGATCATACCATCGTGATCAGGAGCCAAAGAACTACAAGATAAGACAAAGAATTTTTTGAGTGACAGTTCCCCATTAAATAAATGTCAGGTTAAATGCCCTGTTGCATGCCGCCCGCATCGAGGGTGAGCGCCAAGCATAAATGCCACGTTGAGTGTCATGTTCAATGTCAGGTAGCTTGCCACGTTGCATATAGTACCACGCGTGCATGCACCATGTTGTTTGGACGACATGGTCACCGTGACGTGTGGTGCACACAACCGTAGGCAGAAGCAAAGCATGAGCATGTAGCAACAGCACTCTCAAACACAGCAGCATAGTTCGAGCGGTAGAACGAAGCTGCGTGCACCCTTAATGCTACACACACAAGCAACCCTCAGCAGAATGTTGACAATAGATTTGGTCTCGGAACATCGCCTCCCACCCCACCCCGACCCCCCCCCCCCCCCCTAGCCTCCTCCTACCCCTCACCTTCCCTTAAAGAACTCTGGCACAAACTGATAACTTACGTGAGATATGGAAGGTCACTTTCCAACTGCATTTCGCTGCGAGACACATGCGGAAATAGAAGGTCCCATTTCCTTTGACTTTTGTTAGTGTTACGGTGCTGGCGGTGGTGGTGATCGACGTGATGATCGACGATGGCTTGTCGGAGTAATCTCGACCAAACTCCACGTGCAGTGTTGCCGCGGGGTTAACCGTCGGCAAAGACAGGGTGACCTCTGCTCGTTTAGCGTCGTATGCGGTAAACGGGAACATTGGCCAGGTGTACACAGGGTAGCCTGTAGGGAAAGGAGACGAGATCATGATGAGAGGAATTATCATCGCGTACGGATTTTGGGGATACGATTATCGGTACCATATTTCCCATGACATTTTATAAGTCACTCTACCCTTTTTGTGGGCCATGTGTTTCGGAATAGTCACGTTGCTAGGATGTCATACTTGATTATAAGGCCACCCCCTTCTGCGTCCAAGAAGTTTAGTGTAAAAAGGTGCCACTTATATTCGGGGAATATGGTACGTCATGAGTGGCTACAAGTTTCCGCTCGTGCAGATAGGTGTGCCTACTGAGCTTACGTACACGTGTTCCATGATCAGCCATGATCAGCCATGATGATGCTCCTCTCAGTAACAGCCCTTGTCATTTGTTAATAGTCTCACAGTTTCTCCCGCACACTTGCTGATGTTAAATCTTCCTTTCTTTTCATTTTGCTGACTCGTACAGCTCAGGTCGGTAGTAGGCCTAGCCCAAATTTGCCGGCAATTCTTCCTGCAAAATATCGAATTTTTCAACGAAAAGAAATTGCTGGCAAATTGCGAGCAAAATATCGAATTTACAGTGGATCCGCGTGTGTTTTGGTAATTTTATTCAAATTTCGTTGGTTTCATTGGGTCAACGTCGTGCTGAAATATGATATTGTGTGCCATGATATAGTACTGGTCTGTTAAAAAAATTACGTGTCTTCCCAAGGCCCCTGCACCGAGCGGAATCCTGTTTTGATCGGACAATTTCTGTTTTTTTTCTTTTTTTTCAATTTCTGATCGAACGTGCATCCCTGGATCAAGCGGAATCCTGTCATATCAGGACAGTTTCCGCTGCACCGAGGGCGTCCGGTCAGCGCAGGTTGTACTCTGCATGATCTCACTTATACTCCAACACATGTCAAGTTCAGGTACACCTATTGCAATGCAAAGTTGGTCGTTTTAGGCAAGTGATGTTGTGGACATCAAAAAGCCAATACCGACCGCGACCGAAATCCCTACAGTGAACAGGGTTGTGCTCATTTTTAACCTGCTTTAAAATGCTATGGGAAAGTAAATGGACCAAGGAACGACAAGTTACGCTATGCTGTCCACTAACACCACTGATGACTTGTAGTTCCCCGCTCCTTTTTCTTTCCCATAAAATCATCCTTGGCTCTCCATCAGAGTTATTTTAAATTAAATCTGATTGCATCAGTCCAGTTCGCGCCCTGCACGGGGACAAAACTCGATATTCCCTGACCTTGGTCTGCATAGCGCCCGGCATGACATTGACTTGCATAATCGGATATAATGGAGCAGCACTGGATTACACTTCTAAAAGAACTATGATGACAACTTTTGACTAGTCCACTAAGAAACCTTGTTCAGCCATTAATAAAAATGCATTGTTCTCTTGAGACTAAAGGTGCGTTCTTAACCCTTTCCGGGTTTATGACGAGTATACTCGTCATGCAGACCCCATCGCGTCTCGGCTATGACGAGTATACTCGTCATGCAGATCCCATCGCGCCTGGGCAATGACGAGTATACTCGTCATGCAGACCCCATCGCGTCTGGGCTATGACGAGTATACTCGTCATGCAGATCCCATCGCGCCTGGGCAATGACGAGTATACTCATCATGCAGACCCCATAGCGTCTGGGCTATGACGAGTATACTCGCGCTATACTTGTTGTACAGTCCACGTACCGTGCGCACTGATAGATCACTGTACAAACAGCCATAACTCTGGAACGGATTATCGCATCCCCATAGCGTCTGGGCTATGACGAGTATACTCGCGCTATACTTGTTGTACAGTCCACGTACCGTACGCACTGATAGATCACTGTACAAACAGCCATAACTCTGGAACGGATTATCGCATCTATAGCTCATCGGAACGGTTTTGGAAAGAAGGGCTTTCCAGAGGTGTTTTCGGTGTGGCAATAGCTCAACAAATGATCGAGAGGCGATAAATTGAACTCGCGATTTCGATTTGAACATTTTTCATACTTTCTGTCTGGCGATATTTTTGCAACTTTCAAGTCATTCAAGGGGATTTGAAAGTCAGCATGACGTATGAGTACATCATTTGAATCGCTTGAATCTTACGAGCTTGATGCAGTTTGAATCGAAGTTCTACGTTGAGTATGAGCCCTAAACCGAAGGAAATAGTTGAGCGTGGTCTTGATGCCAAACTGGCGGTTGGCAGGGACACTGTTGGCGAGACTAGGGCGTCTTTGAGGTGCTGTATGCTCTGAACGTACGTGGAAGATGACGAGCAGGAAAGGAGCTTTCCAGTAAGCCATAAGTTCTGAAAATTCGTTGAGAAACAAAAATGTTGTGACAATTTGTTTGTTGCTATCTCCACAATTGTACTGATGCACTGAATTTCAGTGTCCAAACGTAGTAAATGCACTGTGACCCTGAAAGGGTTAAATCCTCTCGGAAAAGTTGGAGGCTGTCCGAAAAGTTCGAGAGCTGTTCTTATATCCTCTACGACTTTTAGGAGGCTCTTTAAAGCTCTCCAAGCTCTCCAAATTTCAGAGGTGGGTGAAACTTGGAGATCCCCGAGGTTTGGGATCAGCGCATGCGGACTACCACTAAAAGCCACGTGTTCATCATGAGTGTACGCATTTCTCTTTCCGCATACGCACACATACAAACAACATGTCATCACTCAAGATCGCGGCCCCTTGGACGCTTCATTTTGCTTGACATGTTCAAAATATCTCCGATTTCTTCGAGACCCGTTCTTGAGTAATCCCAGTTTCTTCGACTTCTCTTTTCTTCTTCTTCTAGAAGCTAGAGAATATAAGAACGCATCCTAAGTTAGACTGAGTTTTCAGCATCCGGAAAAACTGGACACCTCACACACAGGGATTGCTACAGATTGTTGACTTGTCCGTTAACTCAAGCACGGCCACTTACACGTTTAGAAGTTCTCCATTTCACAAACCCTTTCCACTCTGATGCGGAGCCTGGTCGAAAATCTGGTGAATGCCTGAAAGTCTGTGTTCTCACTAAAGAGGCTGTAAAGAGGCTGTTCACGAGATGATAAAGTACTAAATTCGAGCAAGAGTACATAACACCCAATAATGTGCAACTCCAGCCATGGGGTCCAGGGCGGCAGAACTTCACATCACCTGATGAAACCCGCACACATTTATACCCTGTGCATGATAGATGCAGGGTCGTACGCAACCCTGCTTTGCGTTCAATTCGCTTGTGGTCACTTTGCCTTGCTTGCCAGCGTAACGTTTTGGACCATGCAAAGTGAAGTGAAGTTCTGTCATCGCAGCACCCTATAGAGGTTGCGCAGGCAGTTGCACACTCTTGGGGTTTATGTACTCTTGATCGGAGTGGCAAGCTCAAGTTTAAGGGTACAGCCTGACGGGGTCTCACCTGTTGGTGGGGTGCCGGTGGAGGTGAGGGAAATTGTGTAGCGCTCCGGGAGGAACATACTGACCCGCGATCGGAAATACGTGCCCTTGTGTCCGACCTGCATCAGAATGCGGATTGGATAGTGAGTGTCGAGAAACGTGAATTTCTGCGTTTCAACCCACTCGTCTGCCGCCTGGTCGTAGTACTCCACATCTGCTCCCAACTTTTGGTAGGTATGCTGCATGGATATGCTGATCAGGTTGGGAGTATGCACCATAACATCTGTAGTAGGCGACAGATAGGGGCCGGGAATGGGTGAAAGGATAGGTAGATACAGGATAGGACAAATCGTTAAATCATTAGAATTAAATGCTCATTACTGGTCTTACAGTATGCGTTTGGTATGGCCGATGCAAAGCTACGGCGGCCAACAATTGCCCAGCCATGATACAGACTGACAGTACACGAGCACACAGTAAGCTTGTATTTATGAGCAGACGTGGGCACACTTGGCTCACTGCCTCATCAAGCCAAGATGCTTGCAGTTCTCCCTTTGGGGATTGCTTTCACTAGAACGATGGATTCAGAGTATTGATAGGGCAAGAAGTGGCGACCAAAAACACCCCAAGGTTGTCAAACAGCTCTGATTGCCAGCACAGAAAGGAGCAAAGAGCAATAACAGCAAGAGCTGGAAGTATAGCAAAACCTGTCAAGGCGACCACTTTGATAAGGCGACCACCTGTCCCAGGAGACCACTACAACCAGGACCAATGGAGGTTATTTCCAGTCCCAATGACCGGCCCTTGAAAAGAAGACCACCTGTACACAGGGACCACATTTGTAAGGTCCCTTGAGCCGGCACCTTAGGCAGGTTTCAATGTAATGCATATGCTCCGAAACAGCTTCTTAACGACTTGCAGGGTAACAGAATGCATCATATTATTATGTTGGCCAAGGGAAAACCCCATCGCAGGTACACGCGCGCTAGTGGATTGCTACAACCGGTCAACCTGCCACGCACAAACACACACACACATGCACGCATGCACACACATTCACACACACACACACACACACACACACACACACACAATACATTATGCCCATTCGGAGATGATGGCAGATCCCGAAGGGATTAACAGTGTTCAAGTCACGAGCGGAATCGGGCCTGGCGAGTCAAGTCCTGGCAACGGTGATAGCGCGGTGATAGCGCTTTCCACAAGTGCACACGAAGTCTAAGGTGACAGGCTCGGTCGGAGGAATGGTGCTGCATGAAGATCTTCACTCTCTGCGATCCTCGGAGAGGTCATACCAGTCCACTATCTGACGCTCCTTCATGTCGGACACAACATTGTTCCATCCCCGCTTCCGGGGCCCATGACGTGGCCGGGTCTTGTCGAGTTCGCCGGGAGTCATCCATTCGAGCAACATGGCCTAACAAACGGTGTCGACGCATTTACACCACTTTTGGGGCAGATGACTGCTGAGATCTCGGCTCTCTTGGCGAAAGCTTCCCGAGCATTTGGCACATTGCGCTCATCTGTCTTTTCCAATCGTGATCTCTCCATCAAGACGAAGGTGCACGTATATTCGGCCGTGGTCTTGTCGACGCTGCTGTATGTTGTGAGACCTGGGCAATTAAGGCCGTGGATGTTCGTCGGCTTGCAGCCTTTCATCACCGCTGCGTTCGCTTCCTGCTGGATATTCCCAGGAAACACAATGGCAGGAGCACATCTCCAACACAACTCTCCTTGAACGAGCAAAGATACAGCCGATCGAGGAGGCACTGAGAACGCGTCGACACCCACCCACCCACCCACCCACCCACCCACACACACACACACACACACACACACACACACACACACACACACACACACACACACACACACACAAACACACCTGACCTGGTGTACAGCTGCCAAATGCTTGGCCACGCCGCCACCGAGACAGGGGAGAGTAGAACACACACACACGCACGTAAAATATGTACACACATGTTTAACAAGTAGAATAGTAAAATACGCTGTCTTACATTGGCATGTGGTTCCGTCAACACACGTCAGTCCCCCCGTACACCCTGGATTACAGGTGTCTGGGCAAGAAAACACCAAGATGGAGTGAAAACATGTATCTGTGGTGCATACCATATTTCTCAGATCGTAAGTCACACTCGATCGTAAGTCACACTGACTTACGATCGAGTGTAAGTCACACTCGATCGTAAGTCACACTCGATCGTAAGTCACACGATTGTAAGTCACACCGACTTAGGCTGTGTTTACATGAAGCGTTTCAACCCGGGTTGAGTTCGACCCGGGTCAGATTTCAACCCCCCATGTGCACAAAGTGAATGGCGCGTTTACATGACGCACTGCGCTTGACCCGGGTTGAAATTTCGCCCCTGGTTGATTTCAACCCTCCCCCCAAAGTTCAGCTTCAGAGGTGGTTGAAACTTGGAGATACCCGCGTTTTGGGATCAGCGCATGCGGACTACCACTAAAGGCCACGTGTTCATCATGAGTGTACGCATTTCCCTTTTCGCATAGGCACATAGATTCATCACTCAAGATCGCGGCCTCTTTGGCGCTTCACTTTGTGCAAAATATCTCCGAATTCTTCGAGACACATTCTTGAATAATCCCAGTTTCTTCGACTTCTCTTTTCTTCTTCTAGAAGCTAGAGAATATAAGAACGCACCCTAACTTTTCTGCTGTTTTTTGCGCCCCCTCCACCCTTTTTGGTTGGTTGGTTGGATTTATTTTAACTTTTCACAAATGCTACATGTTCCTGTCCCAGCCATGAGCGCGTGTCGTTATCACCTGACCGTTTTATCACTTGTCACTAGGGTATGCCACGTTTCTTTGCCGAATGAGCGCAATTGTGCAATTGAGCCAATGTAGCCGTGTAAAGATTAGTCTATTCCTATTATGCTTTCAGTCAACATCATGCCTCCACTCATGAGCTCAGGAGGAGGGAAACAGCTGTCTAGAGGCTCATTGTTAATATCAATTTATACACCGGAATTGTCCTCGCTGTGGTGATGTGAGTGCAGAGTTTGGATCGGCCAAGAGCGCAATGTAGTGGTGTGGTGTATTGGATTCTATAATGGCCGGGTCGTCGCTACTTCTTCTCAGCTTACATACTGGTGTTTCATGTACTCAAAGGGTGACAGCATATATGAGAACGGTAATTATACAATGGAGACAAGAGCTGAATTTTCACCAGATCATGCGATGACAGTTCTGTATGGTGATGAGCGAGTTGACGGAGTAAATGCCCCAGGGGCGTCTTGCGTACTTGCGCGGGATCACAATTCTTCTCTTCATTCTATGTATATATATGTGACTTCAAATTAATGCTAGTCATTATTTATTCTCAACCTCCACTGTTCAGACCTTAGTGATCCAAACAACGCTGCCTGGAGGAAATGATATCTGTCAGAGAGCGCAAATGGAGGAGGTGGAATTGCTTCAATGTTCATACTCGCGTTTAAACTGATAATACACTCCTCGGGGCGAAGTCGTGTTTGAATGGACGTTCATACCGAAAGCCGATTTTCACGCTGTTTCGACCACTAAGGTCTCAGTGAATATTCTTTAGCTCTATCCACACCGAGGCGGATGGTTACAAATGGAATGCCGATGAGGTCTATTTGAAACACGTCCGATTGTAATTTCACAAACAATGAAATTAAGGAGGCTCCAACCTTCTGCGCTGCGCAGCCTGTCTGGCGCTCTGTTTTTTGCAGGCAAAAGTCTTGTTTTTGCCGATAAGTGCGAAAAGTTGTGAAATTCCCATCTCAATTTACTAAAATTTGAACACCTCGATCGACAGTCTTATCAGAGAATATTGTTTCATTCTTCACCTGTAGTCTTCCCTGGGCCCCATCGAGGTTCCTGTTGTTTTTTCTTCCATTGTGTCAGTGGGTATCAGGGCATGTTTTCAAAAGCATCGCCGGTGTGAGCAAGAAGTTGACTTCACAGCTCGAGATCCTGAACAATTTTGCTTGACGAAAAAATGACCAAGGACAACGGAGCCAAGCGTCTCGATGGCTGTGTAACACCAGGGACCAAAACCTACTGTAAGCGCGTTTTGGAGAGAGAGATTGAAGTGGGTGCACAGACTCTGGTAAGTGGATCCACTTCTAATTCTCAAGGGGCGAAATATATTGCTACGCTGAAAACATTGCAGTCTTGAGTGAGTGGTAAATCGTTGGTGAGCTACTGCTCAGTGACTTGGGCTATTTACGAAAGCTGTAGCTAGCAGTAAGTCATCACCTGCGTCCACTTGAATAAAATGCAGCACTGAAAATTGAGTATGTTGTTTTGCAGTACTATTCTCTATGGTCAGAGTGTGAAGTATTTTGTAAATGTTGTGTTGTACAGCACCAGTGATTTGAAAATATTCCTACACTACTCGCACTATTATGATGAATGCATGCACCTGTACCTATAAGCACTATGTGCATGCATATACGCAGGCTCGCGTGTGAGCCTACATGTTGTGTGTGTGTGTGTGTGTGTGTGTGTGTGTGTGTGTGTGTGTGTGTGTGTGTGTGTGTGTGTGTGTGTGTGTGCGCGCGCGCACGCCCAGTGCATGTTGTGTGTGTGCGCGGGCGCACGTGTGCACAAGTGCATGGACAGCAGAATACGGAATATGGTAACTAAGCTCAAGACCATGCATTTTGCATGTGGGTGTATGCTATTGCGGGTGCGCGTATATGACGTACATGTATTTGTGTGTGCAAGAGGTACTTGTTTGTGAGCATGTGCATGGAAGTGTACATGTATGTATCAATGTGTGCAATGCGCATGCACCCACATACACTTGTGGTTGTTCCATGTTATTGGGAATAGTGTTATGATTATAAAAAATGGGTGCTACTAGCAGTCGTTCATTGCCAATATTGAGTTGAACCTGCATCTACATTGTACATGTACTACAAACATGAAACTGCCCCCCCCCCCCCAGAATATAATAATTGTTATCCTCCTCAAGCTCTTTGCCTGTTGCTTTATGAGAAATACTAGGAGTGAAATATTGCAAGAGTTGTGATGCAAAGCTGGTCTGAACTGCGCTCAGGGTCAGTCGGCATCGGCCTGGATCATAAATAACGTTGTGCATGGATCATGCCGATATCCAGATCAAGGACTAAAAAGCCCAGGAACAATGGCCTCATCTAGTCTCCATGTATACTTTAACAATCTGGGGGACCATTCAATGCTTTTGACACAAAAAATTGGAGTAATACCACAAGGAATGCATAGAATGATCACCTGACCTGAAAAATAGCAATTCCAAGAATGGTGGAAAATCGGCCAATTTTCTGTCCTATTTTTATTTGTGGAGGTCTAAAATACACGGTAGCCCCCCTAAAATTATATATTTCTAGTTTCTATGAAGTATGAGGATCCCAAAAATAAAATAAAAAGGGAATGTCCATGAAGAAAATATGAAGCTGTGCACCCAATTGTACTTTGCGGACGGGCATTTCTGCGAAGTTCATTTTTGTACCAAAATTACTATTTTTCTGAGTAGTCAATGCTGATTGCCAGATTTTCTTGCTCAAATGCTTCACTGTGATGTGTGAAAGGACTTGCAATCACAAAGAGAAGCCAGACAACTGGTAAATCTGAAATATGACCACAAAACAAGCAAATTTAGGCCGAAATCGATAAATACACACACCCCTAGAAATACACCTCAAACAGCCTTATCTCCGCGAAAACACCCCCTGAATTTTTTTTTGGAGTAACATGGGATGATATAGAGCACACTCATCCACAAAAAGGAGGGGGATTATGAAGAAAAAAATCACCCCCAAAGGGTTGGAGCCACACATGCACCCAAACCAGTCAGTTGCTGGGAACAAGCTCATGGGCAAACTGTTGTAACACGCTATTGTAAAAATGATTTTGCATTCTGAAGACCACACAAGGAAGCTCACCGCATGTAGGTAGTGGGCTAGTAGTGGAAGGCGCTGTGATGCAAGTCACCTTCGGGTTACCTTGAACCTCATATCCCGGTTTACATGTCAAAGTCAGCGTATCAAGCAATTCTTGTTGAAGGAATACACCGTTGCTGTAAGACCCATGAGCTGGATCCTTAGGCCGTATACAAACTAACAACACAGGTAAAAAGGGCAAAAAGAGGCTTGATGAGTGTTTCAAGTATTTCATGTTTTCTTCTGTTTATGTTGGGTCGGGTATTGTTGCTTCCATGTACAGATAAGAATACTGCGTGATGGTGTGAACGTATCTTGCCAAAATGTACTTTTCTTGGCATCCTGTCAAAAACTCGCCAAGAGTAAGAAGCAAGTTTTGAAGCTCTGAGTGTCGTGACTACTCCTCTCCCCCCCCCCCCCCCCCCCCCCACCCCTCGAGGCATAATATGCAGAATATCAATTGATATATGAGCCCCAGCCAGCAGAAACCTGAACATGTGTAATTTTTTCAAAAATTATTTTTTCCCTCGAAATTGTTTCTACACTATTAATCTTTCAAGTTATCAAGTTTGGTGCCAATCTGATAAGCGAAATCATGGAAAATAGAGTTTGAAGTCACACAGGTCAAGATTCGGTACAGTTGGCGCAGCATCCATGCCTAGTGACTCCATGCAAGTTGATCCTACAGTTTCTGATTGTGATGTGGAACTGGTACATGTAAGTAAATAGAATGCAAGTCAGGCTTGCCCTCTTGGTGCTGCAGGAATGAGTAGTTCAGAAGTGTGACGATATTCCATATACATCACTACCTTCTTTACAACACCAGAGTGCAAAACGATGATTGGTGGCTGGCCTTCCATATTGTGCTCAGGGACCTCTGTGCTGGCAGTTTGAGCGTTGTCCCAAAGCTTGCCATACTGATAGATGTACTGACAAATACCACTGACATCCACTCCCTTGCACACTTTCACTCAGACCATGATTTCAGCATAATTGTATTTCGGCAATGATATGAGCGAATACTCGCGTTTTGTAGCACGTGAAGTTGTTGCCCCAAAGCGTTCAGCCGGTTTGAGTTTTTAGGAATCCCCTTTCTCAGCACAGGCAGCAGCCAGCTTGGCGTCGTCTGGTAAGGTAGAGTACTGATAATACTACGCTCTGTTTTGCGCCGTGAGAAGCCCTCCATCAGTGTCTGCAACATCACTGTTGTCGATGTAGAAATACGGATCGCTCATCAGGTCGACATTCAGCTTCTCCTCGCAGTCGCTATTACTCCCGCACTGACTATCGTCACCACCAGTATCCAGTGTCGATTTTATGAGGGCTCTTCGTTGCTATGCATATGAGACTCGCCACTGCTGGACAAACTCAGCGAGATCGCCACCAAAGAAATAATTCCGATCACGAACTAACTTTCAGCGCCGCTTCATACATTGAGTCTCACTCTGACAACTCTGGACCTAAGTCCTTGTCGCGACACCTGTCGCCATCGCTGTGTCTAAACTCAACCTCCGTGTGACGAGCTCTCACCTAGCGCTAAAATAAATTGACCAGAGACATTTGAAGACACTTGAAACTCCTTTGACAACAAAGACACCCACTCGATCGAAAAAGAATCTTCAAAAGCCAGCTTACTGCGCGTCCCAAACTTTGACGTCACATTTTGATGATTGATATCAAGTACACAAGTGCTGGTTTTCTCTGGCCGGGGCTCATATTATATCAATTGATATTCTGTCTCATATTTACCTGCCTATCATGGATAACGCCGCACCGCCAGGCGGCTCAAAATGTGAGCCTCCAGAGCTACTGTGGAGGCTGAATTGAGGAGGCTGAAGGTCAATACTGTGATGTTTGTCGACGGCCTCACAGGCCATAAAATCGTGGAAAATGCAGACACCCTCATAAAATTACCTCGCCAGCACTTGCCTTAAGAGAGCATGTCTGAGAATACCAAAGTATGTGTGCAAGTGGATCTCTCCGATTTCGCTCAAAATTTGCAGGTAGGTTTCCTTTGGGGTGTGGATCGATTGGGCAAATCCCTTGAAAAAGTTTCTGAAGGGAACCTTGAAATTTGCATACCCCTCAAAAATGGCCAAAATATCACATTATTTATGGGTCTAGAAACGAGTCACGCCACAGCGTATACGAACAAGCTATGAACAAAACTCCATCAAGCCAACATTGCCTCGCCTTAGAAGAGTTCCTGGAGCAGTACCGCTTAGCCACGCCAGCATCCCAGAAGACGAGGTCCATCACCCCCTGACGCCACAAATGATCGTCTTGAAAATAGCCAATTTACAAGCGCTGGCAAAACAGCCAGCTACGTCCTCAATTGGCCAGAACTATACACCGGCAGATAGTAGAACACCTCTTCTAGCGCTGAGGACATGTCCCCCATCTTCCTTTTGGGGTTTTCTTGAAATAAACCTTTTTGAATTTTTCCACTCGACCATGCTGAAATACGGCCAAAGTCATACCTGCGCAGGAAAGCTCGCCCCTCCGCGACGTCTCCTGAGCAATTTCTACTCCAACACTACTCCCAAGGCCGCAGAACAAAGTGTAGTGTTGACTCTGACAAGGAAAAGCAGCGGTGATCACTTGTCACTCCAAACGACAAGCTTCTCCTTGCGCCACCAATAATTTTTGTGCGACTGTTGATGCAAAAGTGACTGAAGGCCTGAGCGCAGTTTTTGAATTTTATTGCAAGATGCACGGTGAGATCGCGTGCTCTGTGACGTAGGATGACGCTTCCTGCATCACGATACGCAGCCATCGATCGCGAACGTGTCTGGAACGCTACTCGGAACAGACCATGATGGCAGAGGTGAGATGAGCTGCATTTCCTGCTTGATCTGCTGAGAACCCCCACAAACTGTCCTAGGAGTGTTGCAATGGCAGCAAGCCGTTGAAATATGCCCCGTACAGCATGGAGAGTTATTCGTCTTTCACACTTACCTCCTGCAATCCCGAACATACTAGTCCAACAGTAAAAGTCCCTAGTTTTCATGTCGATGCTCAACAAAAGCGGCTAGATCGGTCCCTTTCTGTTGACTGGCACGCGAGCAGCACTGGCTGCACGCACTTGTCGCGTGAACTGCATGAGAGATTTCTTACGTCATAAAGAATGTGATTTCATCATCATTTGCCTGGTCTTCGACCTACATGGTCAGGGAAATTCCCGGTTCGTAGGCCTACAACACGGTCAGAGTGTTCTTGAGCGCAGTAACAACACAAGTGTGATCACCTCCAGACCAACGCCACAGCCACGGGCGTTCAAGGCGAGTAACAAGCGCACTTGACAAAGGTCACTCTGAAATAATAATTTCGTGAGCCGTGGGCCACGCGACTTGGCATTCTTGCGTCACAAGGCACATGATTTCACCGTGCATCTTGCAATAAAATTCAAAAACTGCGCTCAGGCCTTCAGTCACTTTTGCATCAACAGTCGCACAAAAAATTATTGGTGGCGCAAGGAGAAGCTTGTCGTTTGGAGTGACAAGTGATCACCGCTGCTTTTCCTTGTCAGAGTCAACACTACACTTTGTTCTGCGGCCTTGGGAGTAGTGTTGGAGTAGAAATTGCTGAGGAGACGTCGCGGAGGGGCGAGCTTTCCTGCGCAGGTATGACTTTGGCCGTATTTCAGCATGGTCGAGTGGAAAAATTCAAAAAGGTTTATTTCAAGAAAACCCCAAAAGGAAGATGGGGGACATGTCCTCAGCGCTAGAAGAGGTGTTCTACTATCTGCCGGTGTATAGTTCTGGCCAATTGAGGACGTAGCTGGCTGTTTTGCCAGCGCTTGTAAATTGGCTATTTTCAAGACGATCATTTGTGGCGTCAGGGGGTGATGGACCTCGTCTTCTGGGATGCTGGCGTGGCTAAGCGGTACTGCTCCAGGAACTCTTCTAAGGTGAGGCAATGTTGGCTTGATGGAGTTTTGTTCATAGCTTGTTCGTATACGCTGTGGCGTGACTCGTTTCTAGACCCATAAATAATGTGATATTTCGGCCATTTTTGAGGGGTATGCAAATTTCAAGGTTCCCTTCAGAAACTTTTTCAAGGGATTTGCCCAATCGATCCACACCCCAAAGGGAACCTACCTGCAAATTTTGAGCGAAATCGGAGAGATCCACTTGCACACATACTTTGGTATTCTCAGACATGCTCTCTTAAGACTCAGTGAATGAGGCTCACCTATAGTCAGCTTCAAAAAGATCACCTTGGAGTTTGCCGTCTTACCGTATGAGCGCTCAAGCGCTGCCTGGAAACACTCACTATGAACTCGAAGAAATATTCCGCGCGAAAGAATGAAAATTGACAACTCACTGGCGTCGGCTGGTTTACAACAAATGAGTTCTGGTTGGTTCTAGAAATTTCTGGAACCAACCAAAAAACATCAGTACAAACCTACAACTTTCACCTAGTTCAACCCTATGGTTCATTTACTTTTGTACAGCTTTACAACTTTTCACCTAGCTATTTCCTAAGCTTCACGTCACCCATGCGTATTAGCCACATTTGCGCCAAGACAATTATTTTACTGCATTGCTACACGCCCAGCTCCTGGTGCATAGCGCAACATGACTAGCAACCTTCTCCACTTTACACTACTAGTATGCCAATCCATGCCTACCGTGTATATAAGCTAGTGTTTTCTACCTCATTCTTCATCCTCTGATGAAGCATTATAATTGCAGAAACCGGTCAGGTTTCCATTAAAATGTAAATGTATGAATTATAACTAAAATCACTGTGCTCTTGTTGTGTCGGGAAATCAATGCATCTTCCCAAGACTCAGTGAATGAGGCTCACCTATAGTCAGTTTCAACAAGATCAACAGGGAGTTTGCCGTCTTACCGTATGAGCGCTCAAGCGCTGCCTGGAAAAACTCACTGTGAACTCGAAGAAATATTCCGCGCGAAAGAATGAAAAATGACAACTCACTGACGTCGGCTACTACTACTCGTACATGTTCGTCTGGTTAACAACAAACGAGTTCTTCCTCGTATCGATATGGAGTCAGAGAGGAGCTGGTCGAGGACGTGTCAAAAGTGTGATACATTTTGACGAGCGGGATGCGTCCCAATTCGTTTTGTGACCAATTTGATTCTTTGAGCTGCCGCGGATGCAATTTACTCTCACGATGTGACGAAAACGGCATCGACACAGACTCATTCCCAAAGCCTTGATGTCGCAAACCTATCCATGTGACTTCGACGACATTTTGAGAAATGCAGACGCCTGTGAAAGCTGATAGAAATCGATCGATCGATGTTCGGGTGTATTCAACAACACGTAGCTACAGCGCAATGACTTCCGTGTTCACTCAAGCGGTTTCAGTGTTGTGTGTATTGACAACTTCACATGGCGTGAGCCAGTCAAGTGCCAGTCGGTTCGGCAGGAAACGCAAGCTCCAACAACAAGTCGTTTGGGGCAGCCACCTTCTTTGTCTTGTACAAGCGTGATCACCAAAACAATGAAGAAAAATGTTTTACTTTGTTGGGATTTGAACTCACAACTACTTCATGGTCAGCAGACAGCATTCATAACCAAAAGGCCAAAAAGGAAGGGATAAATCGGAGGTTTTGATCACAAATAGATACTGGCTTCCAGAGTTAATTAAACCTGGCCGAAATTTTAACTCCTTAACGGTTGGTCCAATTGTTCCGAAACCTTCACAGAACAATTTGCCGTGCCCTAACAAGCCATTGTATGTACTTTTTTGTCCAAATTTCCCTTATCGTCAAACTTGATTGCTATTCTTTTTGAAACAGACCGTAGGGACAGTAGGCGCCAACTTTTAGCGAATTCGGAAATTTGGCCATGTCGGGTGGTATTGGGTCGTTACCGTCAAGTTATAATTGGCTCTATAATATATACGCACATGATTTTTCGGTGTTCCGCCTATGTCATACGGCATGGAACCACCGATTCAAGCGGGATTCACAGAAGCTTTTTTTGCGATGCGACACGCGATGCGAACTCGCGAAATACCATTCACAGAAGAAGTCAGTGATGCGACAACATCTTGCTGATTTGGCTACATCATCATGATACCATGAAGCTCACAGAGGACAGGTCAAAGTAGCTGCTCAAAATAAGCACCAAGTCTTGAGGGATACTCTCGTGCAAAGGACTTTCAGGAAACTAGCCTAAAAGACTGGTGCAAGGCATTAGGACTTAAGTGCAGTATGCACAGGTGCTACAAAAAGCGGATGCTATCACTGTGCAGCATGTATAAGCACCAGCGGTTCACAACTAAATCGGCGAATAAGTTCCAATCAAGGATAAACGGAGCAAACGGTTAAGCGAAATCCGAAATTTAGCAATGTTCGGTGATTTCGGTTATTAGAGGCATTGACTACGACACCTGCAGAGAGCATCTTGTTTCATCCTTTGAGGACCCATCAGCATAGGACAGAGAAAATCAAAATGAATGTAATGAACAAGTTATATTCGCTCAACTCAACCCTTTACGAGCAGCTAATTTTAATATATGATTTCCATCACATTTCCATCACATTTGAAACGATGCCAATATGTCGCGACGAAGTCGCGACGAAGGCACATTTTGTATCCACAAGTTGCCTGGTACATGTACTCCTTCTTGACCTTAGAAAAATTATGTTCACGAGCCACACACATACGCTGATTAATTGGCACTTATACACGGAAAACATGGAAATTGTACACATGCAGACCGTCAAAGTTCCGACATGGTGACGATGCTGCCAAATGGGCCAAGCGAAATAATAGCTTGCACAAGCATCTTGCCAAAGGTCGAACCCAGATCAGGTATTACCCCCCTTACGGTAATACCGTTACAACATAACAATTTATGCTAATCGTGTGAAATGACTCTGAAATCTGCAGCCTGCTGACCCATGTGGACCCATCAGCACAGCACAAAGAAACTCCAAAAAAATGTGCATGTTATAATTATTTAATCGACTTACTCCTCCTCTGAACGCAGGCTACATTAAATTTGTCCGTAGGCTTTTGATAAGTAAGCACATCAACTCCATTAGAGGCAAACGGCTTCCCACCAGCTGGTCTAGTAGTCCAGAAATATAGGTCTCCTTCGGTTTTATGTAACTGGGAAGAAAGGTCCTTCATGCAGGGTTCCTCGTTGACGGTAGGTAAACTGGCGCCTCTAATATTGCAAAAGTTCTGTGCTATATCGTACAGCACTAAATCCCGCGTGTGCATAAAAAGCACTCTGTTGGCATCACAAGCATAGTGAGATTCACCTGCAAAGAAACCGAAAAATGGAGGTGTACCCATAGGTCAGTCGCCATTGAGAAAAAAACTCAAGACTTATACAAAGGGAAACATATTTGCATACGAAGAGACGAAGGGAGTTGTCTCAAAGAACCACACTAAGAAGGACTCTTAAAATATGCAGTTAGTTCCTTCTGGCTTTTAGCTCTTGTTGCCCTTGTTGTCAAATTTGTAGGACTACTGGTTTCAACCCATTATCACTTAGATCAGTAATTCTAAGTGTGGTACTTTGAGACTTAACTTGACCCAACTCACTTGAAGACACTAGAAACTCCTTGGACAAGAAGGACATCCACTCGATCGAAAAAGAATCTTTTCGAGCCAGCTCAAACTTTGACGTCACATTTTGATGACTCTTAAGCCTAGTTCACATTCGACGGGGTGCGACGGGACGCGACGAAAGGATCGACGGGAAGCGCAGGACGGTCTGACGGCGTCCAATGTGAACACCAGGAACGGGAACGCAACCGTACTACCCTAAAGAACGGGAAGCGACGGGAAGAGTTGGATCGATCCAACTTTTCATACCGTAGACGGGGACGCAAGCGTACAAAACGGCTGCAATTCGAGTGTGAACAGGAGACGGCGTCGTGCGCCGACTACTCCCGATTCGTACTTGAATATTTTTAGCATTTCGAACACTGCGCTTCCCATGATAACTCACAGAATGGCAAGCACGACTTGAGTTGAATTTTAGCAACATAAGATCTCATGTCCCTTATTGTATTTAGGGATAGTTCAGAAGCGTGACAGACGAACTATTCTATCATTTCCTGGGGCTATTATTCGAATGCCACAACTTTCAGGGCTAATTTTTTGATCTTTATGAAAAACTGGTATTGTGAACTTGATTCTGCTTCTTTCAAGGAGAAATAATTGAAAAGAAGTCTCGAAAAACTAGAAATTAGGTCCGAAAGTCACCCCGTCACGGACCGTGCCTTATGACTGCACTTGCTTGGTTTGCAAGCTACCTGACCAGACGCGTCCAGCGAGTAAGAGTAGGACAAGAGCTAGGTGGGGCCCACCCTTGCACAAGAGGCGTCCCACAAGGCTCCGTGCTCGGCCCACTGCTATTTTGCATTTACACCCGTGATGCACCACAGTGCTTCCAACATGCATTGAATCAACTTTATGCCGATGATATCACACTCTATATCAGGCACAAGTCCATCCAGATCATCACAACCCAGCTGAGTGCTGACCTTGCCGCTCGGGATTGCTACCTAGATCAGAAGGGACTGGTGTTAAACCCGTCCAAGACTCAGTTTGTCCTGCTCAGGCGACCGGGCAAGGAGCTGCCACCTGGCACCGCAGTAAACTGCCGGGGCACTTCCATAGCCCCATCTGCTTACGCTCGGTACTTAGGAATACTGGTTGACGAACATCTGTCTTTCTCAACCCAAGTGGATGCAGTATGTGCAACTGTCAATAGGAAGGTCGGAGCATTTGTCCATGCAAAGCAGAATATCAGCATTTTTGGCAAACGACTTTTGTATTTATCGATCATTCAGTCCACATTTGAGTTTGGCAGCACTGCATATATTCATTGCTTATCACAAACCCTGTATGACAAGCTTCTTACTGCCAGCCGCGTAGCATTAAAGAGAATATTTTCGTTGGATAGAATGACTCCCACCACTCTTCTATACAGTCATACTAACTTGTACGCCCTTGAGAAACGCCTAAACTTAAAAACATATGTATTTGTTTACCGCTGCCTGAATGGACTTGCTAGTCCTCTTCTGCGAGACCGCTTTACCTTGCGCGCCCATGGTGCTCGCACTGCAGCCACCACCCGTGGCCAAGTCTCTGCTGCTCTTGTTCTGCCCCCCGCTAAAACCCGATATGGCTTTAGTGCAATTTCTTATTTCGGCGCTGCCAGGTGGAATACACTTCCACCGGCTTGCCGCATGTCTAGTTCACCAGCTGAATTTCGCTCATCCATCAAATTATACCTAGGGTTCCCTGTAAAAAGGCGCTGACGCCTGTTGGGAATTCCCTAGTAAAAGAAGAATACATAATAATGACTCGCGCCGTTCGACGTTGAACGTCGCAAGGACTGCTGCATGTCGTGTCGTACGTATCGTACAGGATTTTACAGCTCACCCCAGCCCTTCCGACAAGCCCTTACGTCCCGTACCGTCGGCGTTGCGTCGAATGTGAACTAGGCTTTATTAATATGGAACTGTGTATATTACCTTCTTATCTGGCTTTTAGCTCTTGTTGCCAAATTTATAGGAAGTAAATGTCTATAACGATCAATAATCCCCGGACATGGCCAACTTACCAATTACCGAGTTGGCTCCTTTTATACCTGAGGGGACCTTGTTTGCCCACTATGACAGTTTGGTCCAGAAACTCTAGTAATGTTGTTCGGATACTGGGATACGAAGCGTCACTTGCTCAACAACAGCCCACCATGACGAGAAAGAAGAACGTTTCCACAACAACAACAAGGCATCGATGCACATGTGAAACTCGAGTGCACTGGCTGCCTTGTACAAGAGAAATTTTGGGCCATCTTGCGCTACTGTTGCAGCCCTTGCTGTATATTTGTTTGCAGTTGAGCAGTTCTTCTTTCTCGTCATGTTGGGCTGTTGTTCAGCAAACGACGGCTTCATTTGAGTTTCTGTGAGGGCAGAGATCATTCCCATCATGTCTTAGTGCTGGTAGTGTAGCGAAAAGGTATATGGAGGCGCTCCGTGTTTGATATCCTGCCCCGAAGTTGGATTCGGCTAGTGCATGGACGCGCTCAACTGTAACTGTGTTTACGGTTCGAGATGGGGCTGGTACATAAAGGCAAGAGTACATAAACAAGAGTGTTCAACTGTGCATATCAGATCTGAAACAGCGCAGTTCGTGCACTACGTCACCCTGATGAGGTCAGCCAAGCCAAGACTTGCGTACAGCTCAAATTTTCATGTTTCATAGCCCGGAAATGAAAAGTTTGCTTGATTTTAGACGTCCTGTTGCAGGAGTTCGGTGTTTTGTGTGACTGTGTGCGCTGCGTACATCCACCGACAAGTAAAGTCACCAGGCTATCCGTATCAAAAAACCGAAATCAGGACAAACTCAGTGACCTGCACCACCGCGACTGGTTACGCAACTTTTCACCGTACCTGTGGCTTACCAGGCCGTCAGAAATGACTTAGTGCACGAATTACGCTCCCACAGGAACAATTCCGAGTTGCACACTCTGGTTTATGTATTCTTGATAAAGGTTTAAGTGCAGTATGCACAGGTGCTACAACAAGCGGATGCTATCACTGTGCTGCATGTACAAGCACCAGCGGCTCACTTGGGTGAGGATCAGCAAATACGACAAGTGCAAGAGGCGATTAGAAAATAGGACACCGCTGATGTGGCGTTTCATTTTTGTCTCAAACAAAGGCATTATTTTTACAGGCACGCACTGCCTTTGAGAGAGATTCGAGATGGGGAGAAGTGGAACAAGAACCGTGCAACAGCTGTGCAGATAGAACGTTTGAGCTGTTCCTCCAGGAACGACAGTGGCGAGGAAGATATGTAACTTGCTTGAATGTTCGGCTGAGTTGCATTCTGACATGTAAATGATCATGCACCCTTTATGGGTAGCTAATTTTTGTATGTGATTTCCATCACATTTGAAACGATGCCGATATGTCGCGACGAAGGCACATTTTGTATCCACAAGTTGCCTGGTACATGTACTACTTCTTGATCTTAGAAAAATTATGTTCACGAGACACACACATACGCTGCTTAATTGGCATCTATACAAAGAAAGCATGGAAATTGTACACATCCAGATCGTCAAAGTTCCGAGATGGGGATGATGCTGCCAAATGGGCCAAGCGCTGTGCCGCTGTGCAAGTCGTCGGTGACTATTGCGAATATCAGGAGTTGTGCAGCGTGAGACAAATATTGCATAGTCACCTTGTCTCGTATGGTGACATAAATGGCTTCAAATGGCTTCAGCACAGCACAAAGAAACTCAAATAATATGTGAATGTTATATTTAATCGACTTACCCCTCCTGTCAACGCAGGCTATATTAAATTTGTGCGTAGGGATCGCAGGAGCAAGCACACCATGTCCATTAAAGGCAAGCGGACTCCCATCAGCTAGTCTAGTAGCCCAGAAATGTACTTGTCCTATGTGTTTGTGTACCTGGGTGGCAAGCTCCGTCATGCAGGTTTCCTCGGCGTCGGTAGGTATACTGGCGCCTCTAATATTGCAAAAGTTCTTGGCAAAATCGTAAACCACTTTATCCTTCGTGTCCATATAAAGCCATCTTTTGGCATCACAAAAATAGTAATAATCACCTGCAACGAAAACAACAAATGGAAGTGTACCCATATAGGTCAGTTGCCATGGAGACAGAAATGAACTCAAGACTTATACAAAGGGAAACATATTTGCATACGAAGAGACGAAGGGAGTTGTAAATCTGATGTGTCCTTTTGTATAATCATCTCTCAAATCTGAACTCGCATGGTGAGCCAATATAGTTATGATGAAGAAAGGGAAAGGACTGTATAAGATCGGGTTACGTTGGTGGACAGTTTGTCATAACTCGTATCATTTTGTCCTTTTTCTTTCTTCATCATTTCTCAAATCGGTTAATTTTAAGGTTGAAAATGAGACGAAGCACAATGTCAATTTACACAGCATTTTGGCAGTAGAATGGTATTGAAACGTACACATGCTAAATTATGGTGTGAGTTGCTCCAAAGAGCGCAATAATTATAACAAACTTGGCAATTTAAATTTGTAGGACTAATGGTTTCAACCCATCATCACCTAAATCAGTAATTATTAGTGTGGTACTTTGAGGTAGGCCTTGGCGGATAATGCTCGAAAAGGGTGCAGACTCTGCTTTTTTTGCACCCAAAATTGGCAGAACCATACAAACCTTATGGCGGGCAATTCCTCGAATTCTGCTCCATTTCTTTATCCACATACCAAACATGCATGAAACTTACCAGAAATGGTACCGAATTCTGCCAATTTTTCTGCCGGCATTATCCGCCAAGGCCTACTTTGAGGCTAAACTTGACCCAACTCACTTGAAGACACTAGAAACTCCTTGGACAAGAAAAAATTAATGTCTCAAGATCTCTGCAAGTTTTGTGCCTTGTTATGCGCACTACCTGACTGTATAATATCTCGTTTCCTTAAGTTGGTGGATTGTCAGTCATAACTCGTACGTAAGTCCTTTTCTGTTTATTGTTCTGCTCTGACAGCCATGGTACTGGAGATCAACAGGGGAATGGAGCCTTGCTGCTTGATATAACAATCTCCCTGTTAAATCATTTGGGTGTTGGCGGGTGCGTTGCAATGTGTGTGCAATCAAAGCTTTGCTGGTCATCATTCTACTCGATCTCATCCATTACTGCCAGTGTTCGCAATCTAAAATGGGGCATTTTCAGTCTGCGTAGCCTATTTTCAGGTCTTACGTGATTTTTCGCACGTTTCGCCGAAGTACCTGTCTTGGCAGATGCAGCGCCCCTTCACAAGTTGCCCATGATCGCAGATCTCTGTAGGGAGAGTAGAGGAGAAACATTCGGTTAACAACAACAACAACAACAACAACAACAACAACAACAACAAGTAAATGCAAGAGTAAATAACCTCTCAAGTGTCTGCATTCCGGATAACTGCCAAGCTCCTGGTTGTGACCACAAACGCCGAGTGGCTTTCTGTCAGGCAGTGCTTTTTTACTACTCTACTGGTCACTTAACAGTTAACTTAACACAGACTGCGAACGTAAAACTTGAACACTACACAATGTCAGCAGACTGCACTTTCATAAAATAGAAAACCTCCACATAGAGGGCATCCAAAGTTTACACGTATTCAAGTCAAGATTAAAGAGCGTATCTACTCTTGGTATAAACGCCGCGGCTTATACGACTTTTGGGGGGGGGGGGGAATTCCGCAGGCGTCTATACCAGACAGGCTTACACTCTACTAAACTAGGGCTGGGAGTAAGCATAGTGCTGCATTTTGAAGCCGCTGGTACCATTTCAAGGCGGCTTATGTGCGATTGTACGCTTCCTAAAGTGATGCTTGTATTAAAGTGCGGCTTTTATACAAGGCTTGATGGTACATGTCTGTGTGATAGAGTTTGCTGGTGCTAGGGTCTCTAATGTCATGTAGTGACATCACGACGGCACTGGACCTTGTGAACATCAAGAAGCAGATTGCGATTACCGGTATCTATAGTTTTCAAGGAAGCAGTGAGATGGCACTACCGAGTTGGCTACTTTTATACCTGAGTGGACCTTGTTTGCCCACTGTGACAGTTTGGCCGTTCGGACATAGTTTTCAAGGAAACAGTGAGATTTTGAAGTCGATAATCAAGTTAAATGTCCAACTTACGAATGCATAATATCTGTCTCTTAGCACCAGGGTAGAGTTTGAAAATCTCCAGGATCAATCGGTTTGATCCTTCCTCGTAGTTTTGTACCACGAACTTCTTGCCGCCGTCAAGGAAATATGCACCGTCGCGAAGTTGAAGGCTTTTCAATACTGACTCAGGCATATCACTCTCGGACAAGAGACGTTGGCCGTGGAAAGCGCAGGCCCTGCTTGCCACGTCGTACTGCACCCACTGTTCGTCATTGAATGTTGAAAGGTAATACTTGTCGTGGTGCCTCACTGTGGTCCACAAAGCGCCTGCATTGCGAGAGAAGAAAATAGAAAGTAGCAATACAGGGATACAGTAAAACCTGTGAAGGCGATCACTGTATTTGAAAGGGCGGTGAGGTGGGGATTGCAAATAAACAGAACCAGCTGAAGCGTCATTTTGAGATGTCACGAACCAATTCTGTGTCCAACACCACTTTCTCTAGAATGTGTTTGTGAGAACTCAATAAAACCTTCATGAAATGCCGCTACAAATGGTTTTGTTTATTGCAATCGACTAAAAGCAATATAAGGATTTCGAGAAATGCCTATCGTCTCATTTAGCTTGTTGGCACAAACTTTGACGTTACATTTTTATGACTCTTAATAATATGGAACTGTGTATATAACCTTCTGGCTTTTAGCTCTTGTTGCCAAACTTATAGGATTAATGGTTTCAACCTATCATCATTTAAATCAGTAAATGTCTATAACGAGCAAATATCCCCGGACATGGCCAAATTACCGATTACCGAGTTGGCTCATTTTATACCTGAGTGGACCTTGTTTGCACACTATGACAGTTTTGTCCAGAAACTCTAGTAATGTTGCTTGGATACTGGGATAGGAAGCGTCACTTGCTCAACAACAGCCCACCATGACGAGAAAGAAGAACCTTTCCACAACAACAAATCAGCAAGGACTGCAACAATAGTACTGTAGTATCCCTGCCCGACCAATACGGAAGTAGTACGGAACTAATACGGAGCTTTGCCTGATATATAGTTAGTGTATCTAAACAGTTCTGTCCGCAGATTGAGTATTTCGCTCCTGCTCTTGTAGCAGTTGAGCACTCTTGCGTGGGGTAGTGCCTTTGCTGTTTGCGTTATGCAGAGCTCACTGACTTGTCAGTTTGAGCACTCTGGCAATGTACGTTCGGGCCTGATTGGAAATTTTTATTTCCATTGCTATCAGGTTCGGCCTCATTTCCTCTATGCTGCGCTGACGAGTCCACAATATTTGTCATTGCAAGTTTCCATACAACGGATAGAAAATGAAAATGAATATCTGTTAGGTTTTCAAAGTCTTACCTTCAGCACAATTTATTGTGTGCAGCATTGAAGCCAGCACACATAGAGTAAGCAATAAAATAGATCCCATCTTCAACCTGTTAACAGTACATGCAACAAAATGAACTGGAGTTATGACTTAGTAGAATCCAAGTGATTGCAAACAAGATCATAATTAACAATTTGGCGCCATGTGTGCACACTCCACTAACTCACGGATAGGGCCTAAATAAAAACAATTTCTCCGTAATCGAACGCTTTTGATGGTAACGAGTGAATGAAAGAATATCCTGGTTATAACAACACTGCAAAACTACGGTGAAAAGTCACTGTGGGTTCACTTCCTGTGATCAGTTGCACCTAGGCTACCCTCTGCAGTCGGGGACTCGAGGCACGTTTTTTGGAGTGCATCAATTCCACCCTTCGCATAACAGCGCTGAAGTACGAACGTCACACTTGTACAGACTAGCACCAGAGAGTCTTCAAATATCTGACTACTCCCCGACTAGCTCTGTGCCTGTGGGTTGCCTCTGCAAGGCCAGTGAACTGAGAAAATGTTCGGGGTGCGAAACTAAAATGAATGAAAGAATGTTCGAATATTCGGGAAATTGGCTGACGAAGAGACAAAACAGCTCGAATGGAATAGTGTAGAATGGATCGCACCAGAGCTACCACAGTTCATTATACACTCCTTTCTACATACTTTTTAGAGACAAGCGTGGGCCGCCCAACAAGAAGATTAGCTAATGCCACAATGATCCACGCCTCTCCAATTTCTAAATTTCTAAGTGTGAGCAAATACTAGATATATCCTGTGACAAGACTAGTGTTACAGCCTGAACAAACGTGAAGGGGGACGGGGATCATTGGACTCAAACATTTGTGATTTTACCGCCATTTTGTGCCGCAATTTTGGCTGTTACTTTCACAGTCACCAGCACCAGTAAGCAAATGACCAACTACCACATCCGCGATTAGTGACCATGGGGCTCTGCTTTTTCAATGTCTTTCACAGGTGGGAAACTGTACAAGAGAGGGCACTATTTTTTTAAATGCTGGTACATTTGCGCCATCCAGGTAAACTATCAAAACCCCACAAAAACGGCAACAAGAACTGGGATTTTTGTTGCTGAAACCACCCGTGCAGTGGCATGGACAAGAACACTAGCAAAAAACACCAAATCTGCATGTACCTTTCTTACAAGCCCATGTGTATGTGTGTGTGTGGGGGGGGGGGGGAATCTTCAAAGGAGAGCTTTATTTTTCACAGGCTCTTAGAGACTAGGGCCCTATGGGAGATAAGGCTGTATTCAAGAGAGGGCTCTGATCGCGGGAATACTGTATTGTACGTCCATTCCACGCATTTTGTTCACTCTCTCCTCACCCCCTCCCCCCTGCAACCCGCCTGAGGTACTAGTAAGTGATAACCATGATGCAATGATTCATACAATGCCGTGGTGCCACTACAAGTACATGGAACATGATGACTGTCTGCTCATCATGCATAATAAAGGTGGCACTCGAACTCTGACTTGAAGGCTGGTTCATTCATTTTGAAAGGGGGCGGTCAAAAAGTGAGGAGGGGCGAGAACCCTGTTATCCCTTTTACAGCTACTGGAGTGTGACATTCACCCACTGGACAAACACGGTGCTTGCAGAAAACCAGCATTACCAGTTCTTTAGTCACACTCCGTGACAAGTAGTATTTGCTCAGGACAAGTCTTATTTGCCTGATTGGTTGATGAGAACTGATCAGACTTGTCAGGAGCAACGAGTACATGTCATGGTGTGGTACTGAGGACCAGACAATGCTTGCGTTTTTACGCAATGTCAGGTCCTGTCACGTCACAAGAAAATCTACCACTGATACACAAGTACGTTACGGTACAAAAAGGGTTTAAGATTAGAGAGGACAGCACATTGAGGTACATGTACAAGCTAATTCTCTCCCTGCCCGGACAGCACACCTATTCTCATATACATTCATAAAACGAATAGAACTTACCGCATAGATAGCAGATCCACTCAAGTCCTCAAAGTCCAGCGTAGTCAAAACTCCCTCTTGCGATACAAAAAAGCAACTGAGCAGCGGACTGAAGGTGAAGCCCTTATTATACCCGAGATGGTGCGCCGCGCGGGTTGCTGGTTGCGACGGTTGCGATTGGCCAGAAGGGCGATTCAATTTGCGTTCGGGAATTGCCTCGCAATTCTCGCAATGCGAGCATTGCGCAGGTCGCCAGCAATGCGGAGCTCGGTTCATTATGCGTTCGGGAAAAGCCTCGCAATGAACTAATGTTCAAGTTTCGCACGTGGCAAAGGTGGCACTGCGGAGCGTGAAACGCCTAGCACATGCATTATAACGCAGGTTACGCAGGTTGCCGCGGAACACGTGTTGCATGAGTCCTTTAGCCCCGTACACATTCCCGTATGCACGCACTCCCCTACACACATTTATGCACTCCCTACACATTCATGCACACCCTGCCTCACAAGCTGCATGCACCCTCTTCCTGCTCACCCTGTTTCACCAACTGCATGCACCCCTTTTCCCGCTCACCCTGTCTCACTTACTGCATGGACCCTTTTCCCGCTCACCTTATTGCCACTTACTGCATGCACCCCTTTTTCCCTCCATAACTTTATGGTGCGTTCTTATATTCTCTAGCTTCTAGAAGAAGAAAAAAAGAGAAGTCGAAGAAACTGGGAGTACTCAAGAAAGGGTCTCGAAGAATTCGGAGATATTTTGCACATGTCAAGCAAAATGAAGCGCCAAAGGGGCCGCGATCTTGAGTGATGAATGTAGTAATGCACGTGTGCGTATGCGAAAAGGGAAATGCGTACACTAATGATGAACACGTGCCTTTTAGTCGTAGTTCGCATGCGCTGATCCCAAACCGCGGGAATCTCCAAGTTTCAACCACCTCTGAAGCTTGGAGAGCTTGGAGAGCTTTGGAGAGCCTCCTAAAAGTCGGAGAGGATATAAGAACAGCTCTCGAACTTTTCGGAGAGTCTCCAACTTTTCCGAGAGGATTTAAGAACGCACCCTTAGTTTAATATACCCAAAAGGCTGCGCTTGCGCTGTGTAGTTCTCCTAGTCGTTCTCCTTACAGAGTTCCCCTAGTTGTTCTCACAGTTGTTCTTCTTGTAGTCCTCCGAGTTGCCTTCTCCTTGTAATTGCCTCAGTCCTCTACTTTAGTCCTCTTTGTGCTCAGTTAATTTAACCCCTTGAGCGCGGGTGACGTACTAGTACGTCATAACACCCACACAGTGCCCCACGGATGACGTACTAGTACGTCATGCGCTTATATTATGAAATGACCCAAAGGCAATGTGCCTATCGAGGGGTTCATTTGATTGAAAGAAAAGTAGATGTAGATGTGTGTACAAAGAGAAGTAGGGATTGATGAGGAGAGAAATGGGGAAAATCAACTGCAAGGTGGCGGAATTCCGTTGATTGCATAAGCATAGTCAGCTGTAAATTTCCTGAGGGCAGCTTTGAACTTATAGAGCGAGGCTTCCGATGTTAGACTGGGGGGGTAAACAGTTCCATAGTGGGTCCAATGTTATGAGGCATTTTGCCTGTTTTGATTTCCATTATAAATAAAGTATACAACAACAACAACAACATAGAATAGCAGTTCGGAACATGAAGAGAGACTTAGACAATGATTTTAATTTGGGAAGAATGATTTTATTTGGTCGTCGCTCACTATTCGTAATCTTGAAATGGAAATCAGCAAGGTAATCACGATGATGGAAAACATATCTGTGAAAGATGATAGTCTCAAGAAAATCGATTAGGAACAACCATTTTAGATACATGTATTCTCATTCATCATTTTGTAATGTCCGCTTCACTTATACTATTAATCGCATTAATATCTGTGAAAAGTAGTGAGACTGATGATTTGACGACGATAGGCTAGTGACTCTAGGGAGCATTTAGAATTTAAGACAGATTTGGAAGAAGTGTAATCAAATGCAATTTTTTTCTTTTTCAGTAGAGCTCTAGCAAACCTTGCCTGGAATTGATCAAGAGTGGTCATGGGTTTCTTATTAGATCAGAACGACCACACCGTACAGCTATATTCGATCACAGGTCTTACGAACCCTTTGTACAGTATGATCATTGCCGAAGGCGTAAGTTGCTGGGACATAATTGACAGTAGGTGCACATATACTAACTAAGTGTAGGATATTACCAAGAGTACATATGTACTCTTGATATTACCAAGAGTACATAAACAAGAGTGTGCAACTGCCTGCACAACCTCTATGCTGTGTTGCGACGGCAGAACTTCACATCACGTGACATGGTTCAAAAGGTTATGCTGGCAAACAGTGCAAAGTGACCACAAGAGAGTTGTACCCAAAGCTGGGCTGCGTACAACCCAGTATCCATCATGCACTAGAGTGCACGGGTTCATCACGTGATGTGAAGTTCTGCCGTCGCAGACCCCATAGCTGGAGTTGCACACTCTTGTTTATCTACTCTTGATATTACCCAAGTACGAGGGTGTTACCTCCCGAATATCATCCCGACTGCGTAGCAGGAGGGATGATATGAGGGTACGGTAACACACGAGTACGCGGGTCAATATCCTACTTATCCCAGGCGGCAGGTACATCTACGCATTTTGGGGATCGACGCAACTGCGTTCTCAATACAATTACCAAGGTACAGCTATACCAAAAACAAGATGCTGCCTTTCTTTTCAATCCAATCAAGGTTTGAGAGCGATGGAGCTCGGGAGACAAGTTGCATTTTTGTAGTTGGACTAGAGAATTGACGAAGATTGCACTGTTATGATACATATTCATTTGGTTCAAAGTAAGGGCCATACTTCAAGTCACGGTGAGCTACAACGTCATTGTGGATGCTGGTGCTTATATCCTTGTCATTGGATCGGCGTGGAACTTTCAACGGTTTGGGATCCTTGCTGACCACTGTCCGTGCAGGCAGTAACCACATTGTACATTATAGCAATAAAAACTGCTTTATGACAGTTTTAAAAAAAAGTTCTTGTGTTCTAGAAAAAAAAAGTAAGAAATTAACGAAATGTGATAGCCGAAAATTAAAATTTCACACAAAACCTCACAATAATACCAACAGTTGAAATGCTGCTTTCAACACTGTACTGCACCAACAATTGGCAACGTGCATGTCGTGTATGCATAGGAAAGAGGATCACGAGGGGAAAAGGTCTTCTACGAGTACATGTAGCTTTTCATTCTGTGGGTGATTATTGTTAGGTTTTGTGTGAAATTTTAATTTTCGGCTATCACATTTCGTTCATTTCTTACTTTTTAGACGGGGTTCATGGACTAGAACACAATAACTTTTTTTAGAAAACTGTCATAAAGCAGTTTTTATTGCTATAATTTCTTTTTTTTTTCACCAATCAATGGAATGCCCTATATCAAGAGTCCATAAACAAGAGTATGCAAATGTGATCTCTTTTCTATGGGCCAGATGCGCGGAGCACTGCCTTCATTACACTATTCAGCTGCAGTCCGCGCAATGCGGAAAATCAAACACCGCACTTTCCCTCTGGTTTGAAATGAACTTTCGTACGGAACTGGAGTTCACGCGCCAGAATTTTTAGATCGCGTAGGTACTGGAACGAATCGAGCAAAAACGGATGGGCTCGTACGAGAAATTGTGAGTTTGAATGCATGCTTTAAGAGCGTGATGAAGGCAAGTTACGTAATGAAGGCAGCGCGCCGCGCGAGTTTGAATGCGTAATGAAGGCAGCGCGCCGCGCACTGACCCATCACCACAATTGCATACTCTTGTTTATGCACTCTTGCCTATATCAATATGTAAATGATGGCCTTCACAACATATCAATACCGTATTTACGCATTGAGGTGCAAGTCTTTTCTTGCAGAAAATGGCACTAGGCTAGCATGTTCTTCTGCGGGGAAACATGTGAGTAGTGATGGACCGTGGTGATACTTTTTTTATACGGAGGTCATTCTGTGCATGTTGCTGTTGCAGAATTTCATGACTCATAAATTTGTCTGGCCTTTCAGATATTTCAGATTTCCCCAACCTCGATCAGATTCATTTGAGAAATGTAACCAGGTGCGTGTCGCAGATGTTTTTGTTGATTCTGTGTTTATAATGGTTTATAATCATGGGTTATCGTGATAAAGTCATCCTGCATCATATTGCACTGAAATCGTAATCCTGTTGATGTCGATACAACTTTTGGAAGTAGTTCAATGACTTCAAACTGTTAGTCCACGATTTTCTAAAACAACACAGCAAAGGAGGAACAATAAACATGTATTAAAAAGTAAACAAAATATTTAATACATTGTTGAGTCCGACACCTCGTTCCAACAACTACACTGATCCTGAGGATAAAAGGGGCAAGGCTATGCTTGGAGGTACTGAGAGATAAACAAGGCACTCCATAAATAATAAAATCTTACACATATTTTGGTGAGCATGAATGATATCAAGAGTACATGTACTCTTGATGATATCCAGTCGAACCTCTTAGGGACGAACAACAAGTGACCGATGGTATTTATTCTGTGAGTTTGTCTTAACCTATTTTTATATATACATGTATAACCAGCGAATACAATTATTTCTCTAATAGACATACGAATAGATTTCTTCTACAGCGAAAGATTCTATGCCACACCAACTCATTGACTAGTCTCGTATGAAACAAATGAGTCACTAGAGCGGTTCTGCAAAACGAAAATGAGTACAAACTTTTGTTCTACGTCATGAAGTGCGAAACTTCGCACGAACTTTGGACGCGAAACTTGCAGGGAACACGAAATGAACTGTCGTAGGAAATTTCGTGAGATCGGGTCATAGCGTACGTGCACACTTGGCCCGCGCAAACAACGAAAATGTGCCGAACGCAAAGTTCGTGCAAAAAATTGTACACACTTTCGCAAGGACTGTCGCGAAACTTCGTTCGAATTTTCGTTTTGCAGAACCTCTCTACTGGGAACGTTTCTTTAGCAACATGACGGCAACTGAAACAGCAATAGAGAAAGTACGATACATGTACAGCACATTCTTGCAGGTACTACAAAC